GTTCCAAGTGCTGGTCCACTTCCTCAGATGGCCACGATGGCCAGGGCTGGACCAGGCTGAAGTCAAGAGCTAGGGACGTCTTCTGGGTCTCCCATGTGGATGGCAGGGGCCCAAGCACCTGCGCCACCTGATGCTACTTTCCCAGGCCATTAGCAGGGAGCTGGATTGGAAGTGGAGCAGCTGGGACATGAACCAGTGTCCACAGGGGATGCCGGCATCGCAGGAGACATATTTACCTGCTACTCCACAAGGCTGGTCCTGGTAAAGATGTTTTAACATAGGCTTTAAGGCACTATACCTGAATCCATTTAATCTTATACTCTGCCAATTTTTACTATAAATATATTGCAACTTCCTAAACTGAATTACAGTCAGATTATAAAATGGCTTAAAAGCAAACATGCTATCAAACTTTGTTAATATCTCAGTTTTAGGATCTTGGTGACAATGATAATAATAACTAACGTTATTGAGAGCTGTTATGTTTAAGAAGTATGTTAAAGACTTGGTGTGCCTTATGGTATCTTTTTCTTAAACAATTTTATGAAGCTATTATGTCAATGTAGAGAAAAGGACACTGAAGCTTAAACTGTTTACAAATAGTTTGCATAAATACATGCAACTATTTTTTTTAATTTATTTGACAGGTAGAGTTATAGACAGTGAGAGAGAGAGAGAGAGAGAGAAAGGTCTTCCTTCCGTTGGGTCACCCCCCAAATGACCGCTACGGCAGGCACACTGCGCCAATCCGAAGCCAGGAGCCAGGTGCCTCCTCCTGGTCCCCCATGCAGGTGCAGGGGCCCAAGGACTCAGGCCATCCTCCACTGCCTTCCAGGCCACAGCAGAGAGCTGGACTGGAAGAGGAGCAACTGGGACTAGAACCTGGCGCCCATATGGGATGCCGGCGCCACAGGCATCAGGATTAACCAAGTGAGCCACAGCATCAGCCCCAATACATGCAACTATTAAAAGGTATTTCTGAGATTCAGATTGTTGTCTAATATCTACTGTATAAGATAGCCACTGTGAATAAGGAAAGTACATAAAAACAGTCCATTACTCCCATTTTTTGTGGCTAATACCATTTCATGTGGATGTGTGATGGACTGCATTTGAGGTAAGTTGACCCTGTATTGTTAATTGGAATGTCAAGTGAACAAACTATGCTGACTATTTGAAATGACAGCTTCTATGGTCCAACATAACATCTCAGCAGAATTCAGTTTTTTTAAGAAGCACCCTAGCTGTTGAAAATGTGATAATACATGTGAAATGAGTGATCTCGATTTTGAAAGAAAGGCCATACTTCTCTTGTGATGGTAGTAAAAAAATCACAGGGGCCGATGCTGTGGCATCCCATATGGGCGCCGGTTCAAGACCCACTTCCGATCCAGCTCTCTGCTATGGCCTGGGAAAGCAGTAGAAGATGACCCAAGACCTTGGGCCCCTGCACCTGCTTGGGAGACCCAGAAGAAGCTCCTGGCTCCTGGCTTCGGATTGGCACAGCTGCAGGTGTTGCAGCCATTTGGGGAGTGAACCAGCAGATGGAAGACCTCTCTCTCTGCCTCTGCCTCTGCTTCTCTATAACTCTTCCTTTCAAATAAACAAATCTTTTAAAAATAACAAATTTTTCATTAAAACAAAACGTCATAGCTTTACATTACATGCCAGAGTATGCAAAGATCCACTTTTCTCCCAACTCTGCCTACCTCTATCTGCCTCTACTTTGACTTTTGGGTTAACATTGTCATTTTTTTTTAGTGTCACTAAATGAAGAAACACTTTTATGTTCTCCAGTGGGATTCCAGCAACTACTTAAAACTCCTGTGACATTCTAAGGGGATTTCTTTATGAAGCTCTTCTCTTTGGGGCTTTCTCAGGATTGTTTGTGGAAATTGTCCTACAGCTGAGTGAACTGCTGGTGTAGCCAGCATGCCCATGCAGTGTAGGTACTGGCAGGTCAGAGTGTTGGTTTCATTATCTGGGATCCAGCAGACGTGTTCCCAGAGGGCTCTAAATAGTACCTTACAGCAGTGCTTCTGAGACTTCAGCGTGCACACCACTTACCTTTGGTTCCTGTTAGAATGCAGGATCTCTTCCACCCCAACACTGACATTTTGCACTCCTAACAAACTCCCAGGTGATGCTGATGTTGCTGGTTTTTCAAATATACTGAATAGTGAGAACTTGAAACAGTGGCTTTTAAATCTTTCTGAAAGTCAAAATTATCTGAGCAGCCTTTAAAAAAAGGCCTTAATGAAATATAATGGCTTTAGTGTACTGGCAAAGTTATGCAACCTTCACCACAACCAATTAGAATATTTTAATTATCTGCTCCCCCGCCAAAAAAACCCTCTTACACTCCTTAGCAGTACATTCTCCATTGCTTCCATCCAATCTAGCATCCACGTTTAGGTAGTTCCTAATTTATTTTACATCTCTATAGATTTGCCTAATATGGCCATTTCATGTAAATGAAATCATACAATATATGGTCTTTTGTGACTGGCTTTTTTCATTTACACACTATTTTTGAGGTCCATGCATGTTGTAGCATGTGCCAGTACTTTCTTACTCTTCAGAAGCAATTACTATTACATTGTATGTATTGATCTTGTTTTATTTATACAGTGATTGATTGATTGATAGACGCTTGAGTTGCTACCACTTTTTGGCTGAGTTCTGCTGCTATGAACATTTGCATACAGGCTTTTTCCTGGACTTAGGTTTTCAATTTTCTTGTGTAGGTACCTGCTAGTTGAAATACTGGATCTGATGGTAACTTTGTGTTTAACCTTTAGAGGAACTGCTAGACTGTTTGCTAAAGCTGATGTGCTGTTTTTCATTCTCAATAACAGAGTATGAGAATTCCAGTTTTTCCAAATCCCAACCAACATTTATTCTTTTGGCATAGGTATTCTAATGGGTATGAAGTTATACCTCATAGTGACTTTGATTTGCATTTCATTGGTTGCTAATGAATACTTTTTTTTTTTTTTTTTTGACAGGCAGAGTGGACAGTGAGAGAGAGAGAGAGAGAGAGAAAGGTCTTCCTTTTGCCGTTGGTTCACCCTCCAATGGCCACCACGGCCAGCGCGCTGCAGCCGGCGCACCGCGCTGATCCGATGGCAGGAGCCAGGAGCCAGGTGCTTTTCCTGGTCTCCCATGGGGTGCAGGGCCCAAGCACCTGGGCCATCCTCCACTGCACTCCCGGGCCACAGCAGAGAGCTGGCCTGGAAGAGGGGCGACTGGGACAGAATCCGGCGCCCCTACCGGGACTAGAACCCGGTGTGCTGGCGCCACTAGGCGGAGGATTAGCCTAGTGAGCCGCGGCGCCGGCCAATGAATACCTTTTTTAAAAAAGATGTATTTATTTATTTATTTTTTATTTGACAGGTAGAGTTATAGACAGAGAGAGAGAGACAGAGACGAAGGTCTGGTTCACTCCCCAAATGGCTGCTATGGCCAGCGCTGTGCTGATCTGAAGCCAGGAGCCAGGTGCTTCTCCCTGGTCTCCCATGCGGGTGCAGGGGCCCGAGCACTTGGGCCATCCTCCACTGCCTTCCCGGGCCACAGCAGAGAGCTGGACTGGAAGAGGAGCAACCGGGACTAGAACCCTGTGCCATATGGGATGCTGGCGCCACAGGTGAAGGATTAACCAAGTGAGCCATGGTGCTGGGCCCTATTTATTTATTTGAAAGGCAGAGTTACAGAGAGGCAGAGGCAGAGGCAGAGGCAGAGGAAGAGAGAGAGAGAAGTCTTCCATCTATTGATTCACTCCCAAAATGACTACAACAGCTGCAGCTGGGTTGATCCAAATCCAGGAGCCAGGAACTTATTCTAGGTCTCCCACGTGGATGCAGGGGCCCAAAGACTTGGGCCATCTTTTACTGCTTTCCCAGCCCAAAGTAGAAAGCTGGATCAGAACTGGCACCCATATGGGATGCCGGCCCCACAGGCAGTGGCTTTACCCACTATGCCATGGCTGTGGCCCCATGAATACCTTTTAAAAAATATTTATTCCCATACTACACCCCAGACTTCTTGGATCAGGATCCCTGAGAATTTTAAGATGAGGAAATTGATAATTTTAATAATCAACCAGTCATCAGAACAGTTTTCCATTCTAGCAGTTGACCCAAGGAAATAGTTCTATCCTTAAGGGGAAGGAATCTCTCTGTTGCAGATCTCAGACTTCCTTATGTTATGTGACTTGATAGAACATATTTTTAAAAAAGTATTTCTTTGAAGACACACAGATTAAGTAACTGCAGAGCTCTCAAATGAAAAAGTACCTCAGACCATATTGACATTTTCCTGCTTTCAATAGATTTTCCAGCAGTGTGTATTCTTAGCAGAAATCTGATGTAGTAGTCTTCCCTGAGCATGCCTATGTGACTATAGTTTATTCATTTAAATGGCTAGTCTGTGGCAGCTGTGGTTTGGACAACTACAGAACCCAGGAGCAATCAACTGGGTAGCAGTTTAAAAAATACATGAAATCAAGAGACTTGGTGATTTAGTGGATGTGTTTAGGGAATTGGGAAATGAGAATTCTTGTCCTGATTCTAATTTATCTTGGCTATTAAGCAAGTCACTTTCTCTTTCGCCTAAGTTGCCTCACCTACTGAGAAAGAAATAAATTACAAAAAATAAAATCTCACTTAAATAATTGTGTCCTGGTGTCCATTCTTGGAAGCTGTAATTAAGATAGGCACCATTTATTTATGAAGAGCTTTCTTCTTGTGAGGCATTACGTTAAGTGCTTTCTACATTTCTCATTTAACTTTCATCCCATTCTCCAAGATAAATATTGTTAAATATACTGTATAGGCAAGGAAATTAACACTTTGAGCAGCTAGAAATCTGCTGAAGGATAAACAGTCTTACAATGTAGTGCTGGGGTAGCATTTGGCACAGCATGTAAGATGCTACTGGAAATTTCCATATCCCATATCAGAGTGTCTGGGTTTGACTGCCAGATCTGCTCCCAATTCCAGCTTCCTGTTAATGCACACTTTGGGAGGCAGCAGGTGATGGCTCAAGTCGTTGGTCCCTGCCACTCATCTGTGAGACCTGGACTGAGTTTCTGGCTGCTGGCTTTGGCTGGGGTGAGTATTTGGTGAGTAAACCAGCAGATAGGAGATCTCTGTCTGCCTGGCTGCCTCTCTCTATGCCTTTCAAGTTATAATCCAAGCTATAATTCTCACAGTTGAGAATTGATGTTTGAACATAGGTTGTCTCTAGACTGGCTTTAGATTTTTCAATTTTCCACATAGAAAAAAAAATAAAAAAAACCAGTAACCTAAGGAGCCATACCACAAATGTGCAAAGACTAAAATATTTTATGTAATCCCCCCTTCCAGAGAGAAGTGAAGTTCACTTCTGGTTTCTTTTTTCTAGGTATCTACACAGTGGAAGGGTGAACTTGAATGTTAATATATATCTAGCAGTCAATGGACTGCTGAAAGGTGTTGGAATTGAGTTAAGATAGTGTAGGTTTTGAAGTCCCACTTGCCAGAGTTTGAAACTTGGGTTAGTTGTATGATTTTGTGCAAATTAATCTCTTAAAGCTCATTTCCTTCATCTTTTAAATCCTGGTCAAAGACTTCATAGGCTTATGTAACAAAATTACAAACAATGGCTTAAACATACACAACATAAAATAATTGTTCCACAATGGAAAGATGGTAATCTTTTAAATTATTTATTATGTATTTCATAAATATAACTTTAGGAATATAGTAATTCTTCCTACCACACCCACCCTTCCACCCACACCCCTACTCCTCTTCCACTTCCCTCTCCTGTTCCCAGTCTTTTTTTTTTTGTTTACTAAGATCTATTTTCATTTAACTTTATACACAGAAGATTAACTCTGTTCTAGGTAAAGAATTCAGAACGTTGTATGAGAAAGAAAAAGAAAAAAGGGAAAAAAAGAACAACTGTTCCTCAACAGTCCAGACAAGGGTTGTTCAAAGTCATTGCATCTCAAAGGTAATTTAGCTTTATTCTTTTTTTTTTTTTAGGAACTTAATTATCTTTAAAGAAGAACCCAAGAACGATATGTCTTTTGCAAGCACTTAGATTTAATTGTCTCTTATGAGACATAGAATATCCTTCACTTAATACACTTAAAGTAATTCTTTGAGATCAAGTTTTACTGTTAAGTCTCATAATACAACTCTTTGAGGACAGAGGTTCTGCATGGGAAGTTAGTGCACAATGACTTCTGTCGTTTATTTAACAACTGACACTCTTCTGTATGATGTCAGTGACCACCTGAGGCTCTTTACGTAAGCTGCCTAGGTTATGGAAGCCTTTTGAATCCACAAACTCCATCAGTATTTGGACAAGGCCATAAGCAAAGTAGAAGTTCTCTCATCAGAGAAAAATACATCCTTCTTTGATGACCACTTCTTTCCCCTGGGGTCTCACCCACAGAGGTCTTTCATGTAGAACATTTTTTGCCACAGTATCTTGGCTTTCCATGCCTGAAATGCCCCCCTTGGGCTTTTCAGCTAGACCAGAATGCCTTAAGGGCTGATTCTGAGGTCATAGTGCTACTTAAGGCAATTGTCTCTTTATGAGTCAGCTATATGGACTGCTTCCCGTGTTGGAGCATTCACTCCTTTTTAATTCTATCAATGTTACCAAACACCTGGTCCTATTTATATGATCACTTTGACACTTGATCCTGTCTATATGACCACTTTAACACTTAATCTAATCCATATGCTCTCTATAATACTTAAAATGGTATTTTTACCACCCAGTTTAAGGAGATTTGGGGGCCCATGGCAATTTTTAAAACTATACCCTTAGAAGTAAGTCTGTAGGAATGTATGTAGAACTATACAGCTTTATAGTTACAAACTTCATACATTTCAGAGTTACAACTTTAGGATCATGGTAATTATCCCACCATTCCCACCCTTCCACCTTCCCCTTTCTCTTCCCTCTCTTATTCTCATTCTTACTTATTACTAAGATCTATTTTCAGTTAACTTTATGCACATACGGTTATCTCTATGTTAAGTAAAGAGTTCAACGATTACTATGAAAGAAAAAAGAAAAGTAAAATAAGATAAAAGAAATATAATAATAATAAAAAAAAACTGTTCCTCAATAGTCAAGAGAAAGGTTGTTCAAAGTCATTGCTTCTCAAAGTGATAGTTTCACATCTACAGATTGCCTTTTAGGTAATCTATTAGTTACCACGGATTAGGGAGAACACATGGTATTTCCTTTGGACTGGCTTATTTCACTAGGTATGATGTTTTCCATCTTCATCCATTTTGTTGCAAATGACCATATTTTGGTTTTCTTTTTCTTTTTTTTACTGCTATGTAGTATTCCATAGTGTACATATCCCATAATTTCTTTATCCAGTCTTCAGTTGACCAGCATTTGGGTTGATTGATGTCTTAGCTATTGTGAATTGAGCTGCAATAAACACAGGGGTGCAGATAGCTCTTTCATATGCTGATTTTATTTCCCTTGGGTGGATTCCCAGGAGTGGGATGGCTGAGTCATATAGTAGGTCTATATTCAGACCTCTGAGGTATCTCCATAAGTCTTCCATAGTGATTTTACCAGCTTACATTCCCACCAACAATGGATTAAGGTACCCTTTTCCCCACATCCCCAAATGCCAGCATTTGTTATTTACTGATTTCAGTATGAAGGCCATTCTAACAGAGGTGAGATGAACTCTCATTGTGGTTTTGATTTGCATTTCTCTGATGGCTAATGATCCTGAGTATTTTTTCATGTGTCTGTTGGCCATTTGGATTTCCTCTTTTGAAAAATGTCTGTTTAAATCTTTTGCCCATTTCTTAACTGAGTTGTTTGTATTGTTTGCAAATAATTTCACTCATTCTGTTGTTGCCTCTTCATTTTGCTGATTGTTTCTTTATTTTATTTTATTTTTAAAAGGATTTTATTTATTCGAGAGGTAGAGTTACAGACAGTGAGAGGGAGAGACAGAGAGAAAGGTCTTTCTTCTGTTGGTTTACTCCCCAAATGGCTGCAATGGCTGGAGCTGGGTAGATCCAAAGCCAGGAGCCAGGTGCTTCCTCCTGATCTCCCATGTGGGTGCAGGGGCCCAAGTACTTGGGCCATCTTCTACTGCTTTCCCAGGCCACAGCAGAGAGCTGGATTGGAAGAGGAGCAGCTGGGACCAGAACCAGTGCCCAAATGGGATGATGGCACCACAGTCAGAGCATTAACTTACTGTGCCACAGCACCAGCCCCTTCTTTTGTTTTTGTGGGGAGCAACTCAGACTAGACTGTTACTCGAATTAAGACTTTTTCTATGCATCTGCTCTCCCACAATATGGCGCTGGGAGAGGAGGAAACAGCTTCTACACAGCTGCCTCCAGTTCAACCAATAAACAGCAGGACCTGCTCCTGATTGGAGGAGAGCAGCGTACTCGGCATGTGGGTAGCAGAGTTGGGATTGGTGGAAGAGGACTATAAAGGAGGAGAGAGACAACATGCACCAGGAACATCTATCTGAAGGAACACCTGTGCAGCCCCCGAGAGAGCTGGCCGGCGGTGTGCCGCTCCCCTGCGGAAGTGGGGAAAGTGGCAGGGGGAACCGCCCTTCCACGGAGGTGGAAGGGTCGGTAGCCAACCCAGGAAGAACCAGCAGCAAACCCGGGGAGGGCCAAGCAGACAAAAGAACAGCGCAGGGTCCTGTGTCATTCCTCCACGAAGACGGGGAGCGACAGTTTTTATTTTGACAGGCAGAGTGGACAGTGAGAGAGAAAGAGAGAGAGAGAGAAAGGTCTTCCTTTACCATTGGTTCACCCTCCAATGGCTGCTGCGGTGGGTGCGCTGTAGCCGGCGCACCGCGCTGATCTGAAGGCAGGAGCCAGGTGCTTCTCCTGGCCTCCCATGCGGGTGCAGGGCCCAAGGACTTGGGCCATCCTCCACTGCACTCCCTGGCCACAGCAGAGAGCTGGCCTGGAAGAGGGGCAACTGGGACAGAATCCGGTGCCCCGACCGGGACTAGAACCTGGTGTGCCGGCGCCACAAGGCGGGGGATTAGCCTATCGAGCTGCAGCACCGGCCAAGCCCCTTCTTTTTTTTTTTTTTTTAAAGATTTATTTATTTATTTGAAAGTCAGAGTTACACACAGAGAGAAAGAGAGGCAGAGAGAGAGAGAGAGAGAGGTCTTCCATCCACTGGCTCACTCCCAAATTGGCCACAATGGCCAGAGCTGCGCTGATCTGAAGCCAGGAGCTAGGAGCTTCTTCCAGGTCTCCAATGCCGGTACAGGGACCCAAAGACTTGGGCCATCTTCTTCCTTCCCAGGCCCTAGCAGAGAGCTGGGTTGAAGTGGAGCAGCCAGACTTGAATCAGTGCCCATATGGGATGTGAGCAGTGCAGGTGGCAGCTTTACCTGCTAAGCCACAGCACTGTCCCTAGCTGATTGTTTCTTTTGCAGTGTAGAAGCTTCTCAAACTGACGTAATCCCATTTGTCATTTTTAGCTTTGATTGCCTGTACCTCTGGGGTCTTTTCCAAGAACTCTTTGTCTATGTCAGTGTCTTGTAGGGTTTCCCCAATGTTCTCTAAAAATTTGATGGTTTCAGTTCAATAGATTTAGGTCTTTAGTCTATTTTGAGTGGATTTTAGAGAAAGCTGTAAGGTAGGGGTCTTGATTCATGCTTCTGCATGTGGAAATCCAGTTTTCTTGGCACCATTTGTTGAAGAGACTGTCCTTGTGCCAGGGATTGATTTTAGCTCTTTTGTCAAAGATAAGTTGGTTGTAGATGCTTGGATTGATTTCTGCATTCCCATTCTGTTCTATTGGTCTATCCATCTGTTTCTGTACCTGGACTAGGCTGTTTTGATTATAACTGCCCTGTAGTATGTCTTGAAATCTGGTATCGTGATGCCTCCAGCTTTGTTTTTGTTGTATTAGGTTGCTTTAGCTATTTGAGGTCTTCTGTGTTTCCATATGAATTTCAGCATCATTATTTCTATATCTGAGAAGACCATCTTTCACATTTTGATTGGTATTGCATTGAATCCATAAATTGCTTTCAGAAGAATGGACATTTTGATAATATTGATTCTTCCAACCCATAAACATGGAAAAATTTTCCATTTTTTGTATCTTCTTCTATTTCTTTCTTTAATGTTTTGTAATTCTCATCGTAGAGATCTTTGACATCCTTGGTTAAATTTATTCTAAGGCATTCGATTTTTTTTTTTTTTGTAGATATTGTGAATGGGATTGATCTTCATAGCTCTTTCTCAGTCATGGCATTGTCTTTGTATACAAAGTCTATTGATTTTTGTGTGTAGATTTTATATCCTGCTACTTTACCAAACGCTTCTATGAGTTCCAATAGTATCTTAGTGGAGTCTTTTGGACCCCCCATATATAGAATCATATCATAGCCAAATAGGGATAGTTTGACTTCCTCCTTCCTAATCTCTATCCCTTTGATTTCTTTTTCTTGCCTGATGGGTCTGGCGAAAACTTTCAGGACTGTATTGAATACTAATGGGGACAGTGGGCATCCTTGTCTGGTTCCAGATCTCAGTGAGAATGCTTCCGACTTTTCCCTGTTCAGTAGGACATTGGCTGTGCATTTTTCATAAATTGCTTTGATTGTATTGAGGAATGTTCCTTCTATTTCCAATTGCTTAGAGTTTCATCATGAAAGGGTATTGTTTTTGTCAAATGCTTTCTTTGCATCTATTGAGATAATCATATGGTTTTTGGTCAGCAGTTTGTTAATGTGATATATCTTATGATTGATTTGTGAATGTTGAACCATCCCTTCATACCAGGGATAACTCCTACTTGGTTTAGGTGATTGATCTTTCTGATGTGCTGTTGGATTTTATTGGATAGTATTTTGTTGAGGATTTTTGCATCTATGTTCATCAAGGTAATTGGCCTGTAGTTCTCTTTCTCTGTTGCATCTTTTCAGGATTAGGAATTAAGGTGTTGCTGGCATTGTAGAAAGAATTTGG